TTTTTTGGAATCGGGTTTGTGTGTGGCGTGTGTGTTCAGTGCAGTCATTTATTTGGTCATTGATCAGATAGGGAGGACCATCAGAATTTTGAATGGTCTCTGTGTGTGTGTGTGTGTGTGCGTGTGTGTGTGTGTGTGTGAGTGTGTGTGTGTGTGTGTGTGTGTGTGAGTGTGTGTGTGTGTATGTGTGTGAGTGTGTGTTTTGATAACTCTTAGTAGAGATTTCTATGCCTTGCCATATCGATTGTCTGGGGAAAATAGAGGGTTGTTGTGTATGTGTGTGTGTGTGTTTTGTGTATGTTTGTATGTGTTTGTGTTTGTGGGTGTATGTGTGGGGGCATTTGTGTGTGATTGTGCAAGTGTGTGATGTGTGTATGTTTGTCTTCAGAACCAAAATGTTATGAGTTGCCAATGGACCCTTTGTCTGGTTATGGTTTGGTTTTTTTATTTCTGGCAGAGAACACACAATATTTATTTCAGAGTGGAGTCACTTATGATTCATATAAACTGAGAGCGGGGGGGGGGGGGTGTTTGAGTATGAAAAGTGCTGTGGGAAGTCAGTTTAATGTTGTTGTGTTCTGCTCGCTCTTTATTAATATCATTCCAGATTAGTTGGCAGTTCATTATAACTAACGGCAAATGGTACTTGAAAAAGTAATGAGATGTACAGTTAGAGCTGTAGCCTTTTACTGTCACAGGGTTATGACAATTGTGAGTGTTATCTATTGATTTAGGTAGATATGTCGCTGACATAATTGGGGTCTCTAGGCTACATCTGTGTTCAACCTCAGAAAGATTTTGTGCTGACCTCAGTAAGTAGAAATAATCATGTTTTTTTTATCAAACTTCCCTTTTTATTCATTGTTCAATTCCTGGGCAGCTTTTTTTTGTCCTTGTGATATTTGTGTCACGACGCGGTGGAACCGGGCGCTGGTCAATTTTTTTGGCATATGTAAGCCTAGTTATTGGTATCATCTTAAAGCCTGTTCATTTGCCTTGCTTTCCATGAAGACAATACCCGTTTATCTTGGATACGAGTCGAGATATTTGCGATTGAATGAGGTGGGGTCGTCTGGTTTCAGAGGTGAAATTAGTGAGAAAATGGCCACCAAAGTTATTTCCTTAACTTGAGAGACGTTGGAAACTTGAAAATTTATGTCTTTTATGCATTTAATCAACGTTTTTCAGTAAAATCCTTAAAATGTATTTTTAATGGGCATAAAAGGTGTTGAGCCGAAAAACAAAAATCTGTAAAACTTCCTAAACCTACATAAAAGTGCTAGTTTCTTCACTTTCATTATTTTGACGAGCGCTTGATTTCACGCTGCCTCACATTTATCCTTCGTTCTGGGATACACCATGCTGGTGTCAAGGTAGACCCTAAAAAAAACTCTGTTGTTCTTTTGAATTTGATTATTTGAGTCGTAAAACATTTTTTTTTCCTTCTACTTCTATCATAGAAAATATGGAGAAATTTTATGTTATGTTTGTTTGTTTTTTGTCTTGAACAGTTTGGAAACCTTTTATGTGAGAAAATATGAATTATTTGAGTGTTTTGATGCTTTTTGAAAGTCTAGTTCTTATATTAAGGTTTATACAGACGAGAATATTAACGAGACACATTTATTATCAGGCCGCCCACATTTTTCTACAGAAAAAAGAGGAGACTGATTTTATGTCTTCATATGCCAATATGCTTCATTAGTTTATCATGGTGCATACATACTTCTTCAACATACAATATCATGATTGAATACAAATTGCTCATAGTTCAAATGCACCAACTCCTATCCTATTTTTTTGTTTGTTTTTTTCTCAATATTTTTCTGAATTATGAGACCACAGAAATGAGTGTGAAAGGTTGTCTGCGTGTTATTTTAGTATCAATGCATAGTAAGTTATCTCTAAGTCTTTCAAGTTTTCCTTTTCATCATTAAATGCCAATATCTTCAGCACTTCAACTTCATGCCTCAACCGTTGGTGAACCATAGAATTGCATTGTACTCATCCACAATATTTTTTTTTGCCTGGCTTTTGTAAGGCGAACCTCAGCTCTATATAAATGGACTTAAGAACACTGGAAAGTGCTGTGAGATGTCAGTTTTATAGATCATGTATAGAGTGTAAGTTCAGCTCTTTCATTGTTGCTATGGCCTCATGTGTGGGGAGCTTGGATCACATGTGTTTTGCAATAGTGCTGTTATAACTGACTTTTCTTTTTCTTTCTTTTTACCCCCCAAAAAAAATTAAAATTAAAAATTCTAATGCAAGTCTGCATTTAGACATCACATGTAAATTTTCATTTAATTTTTTTCTACCAATACTCATGAAAAAATGGTTGTTTCTCACTCTCTCTAGACATGCTTTTTTAAAATCTATAGTTTCCTTGGCGTGTGATGAATGATTGCACAGGGAGTCCCTTGAGTTTGGATGCCTGGCCAAAAAAAAATACACCAAAAATTGTCAGCAATATTTTAGTATTCAGTTGGAATATTTGGAAATAACATCTTTGATATGACTTTCACTCTTTTTTGATGCAACAGCCAATGAGTTTTGCACAATTCATGTGAACCAGATGCAATAACTCCACACTGCCTTTGATTTGAAAGGATGAGATTTCCCTTGTGTCCAGACGTTAGGGACACCCTGTAGGTTTGTTTCCCTGCAGACTTAAGTCAGTTTGTGTACCTTTTACATCAGAGGCAAAAAACTAATTTTTATTGTCTTGTTCCTATCAAGAATCATAAAAATTAAAAGCAAGAAAATTGTAAAGCTTCACCATAGCATTATTAAAAATGCATCTTTGTGATGTTGAAAGGGGCGTCTTTGATGGATCTTTGAGATGGTGTAAAAATTTTTAATTCTCCAAATTTGGGTTTCAGTGGATTGCATGGGACAGCGAGGAAGGATATTGTGTATTAACGTCTACTTCTCAAGCTGAATGGGCACACTTTATCGTAGTCCTAAAGCCAGAACCCAGTCAGGTGTGTTCATGATGTCGGAGCTGTGATGACTGGAACTGAATAATGACATGTTGTACTTATTCTATCCCGTTATTCTAAACTAGAACACTGATGACTATTTCAATGCCATAAGACCAGGCCTTTCCCTTGCAGGGAAATAGGAGGGTTTACTGTAAGATTATTTTTATTGAACTGAGGTTTTATGGACACAGTTGTTTATGACGAGATAAAAAAGTAGTGGCCAACTTGAAATCCCTCTAATTTTTTTCAGTTGATTCAGTTCACACGAGATGGGCTAACGGTCCAACATATTTTTTATGCTTCAGTTGTTTATAGTTTTTATTCTGCATAAAATCCTCTATTTTTTGAGGGACTGGTTTGTATGTCATGTAATGTTTATAATAATGATTTATTATTGTATGCCATATTTGTTTGACATAATCAGGGTCACCACACAACACGGACCACCATCGTTCTATATTCTATGATGAGCATCAATGTGTCTAACACTCACTTGCAGTGACAACCATCTTCTTCATAAAACTGTGATATTATACATTGACCTGTGTCCGTGTGTTCTCCGTGTCTACTGTTTGCTTGGTGTAGAATGTGGTGTGGAGAAGGCTACATTTTGATGAATCGGCTGTTCTACCGGTAGGCTTTTTTAAATATCTGCTTGTGGTAAATGGAGACAGCTTTTCCGTTACTTGTGAGTGGTTGGAGGGTGTTACTGGGTTGGTTGGTTCTTGTTTTCTTTCCATTTGTAGTCTGTCTAGCATTTTACTATTCTTAATAATCATCATTGTGCCAATGTGCTTATTATTTACGAACTTACAATGAATTTCTTCATTAAGTTCAGCTCTTTCTTCTCTTGCATAAAGTATGGACCCATGTAAACAAATGTCAAAATCAGAACATCTGTTCTTCGTTTCTTGTCATTTTGTCGCAGACTAAGAAGGACTTTAAGAAGATTGTTAGACACAATACTCCGACAAACGTCATTGTGCAATTTGGCATTTGTTGGAGTGGTGCGCTTACCCATCAAAGAGAATTAGGACGCATAATTCCTCCATCACCATCTTATCAAAATGTGCTCAATGTACAGGAGTATGGGAACTATAAATATTAAACCTTTCGTTACAACCCATTTTTCTTTCCTGGATACACCAAGATGGGGGAATAATCATGAAATTCCATGATGTATCAGATTTATCTGTACAACAAAGAAGGGTGCAATAGTCAGGTGACTTCTCCCACCCTCAGGGAAGATGAGATTATTACCTTATACAACGTTTCAACGAACGGAGATCAAAATGTATACACTTCTTTCTATTTCATTGTACAATTCTCAAAGGGCACAGTACATTCTTCTATTTTGTTTCACTTTTGTTTCATAATGTTCATAGATGGATAACTCACTGGTTAAGGGGACCGCTGCCTCTAATCCTGAATGCCATGGCGGTGGTGGTGGTGGTATCACCCTAATTAGAGCGGAGAAATTAACAGTCTTTCAGTCTTTAACCTCATGATCATCATTTATAGTATTTTTATATATATATATATATGTAATATATATATATATATATATATATATATATATATATATATATATATATATATAATGCAACAGGTCTTGAAAATTGACTGTGGTGTATCCTTCATCTCGACCATTGTTAACATTAACAGCAGGAGCCATGGCAGAAAAAAACAGAACTTGTTTTATCAAGGAGAGGGGAGTTGCCTGATTGTAGGGATGCCATTTGCTTTTTAATTTAAAAGAATTCTTGTTTTGGGGGGGACGAGGGGAGTTTTTCCTCACTGATATTTCCATATATTTTACTTAAGCCCTTTGGAAAAGCTGTTCTTCTCAATATTTCTTTTCTGTTTGACCCCATTTTAGTTGTGTCTATTTATAATTTTTTGTTTCATTTTACGAAAAAGCAACTTCCAAAAAATTTCACTTGATTTCACAAAACCCCAGTGGCATCCATGTGATTGTGTTACAATGTTAAGTTGCCTGGGCTACAACTGCTATAACAACTGCATCATTGACGACTGCAGTAGTGTGAGATAGTGAAGCAAAAGCTGGCTGCTCCTTGGGAAAAGTCACTATCATCGTCATCACAGTCGTCATTACCACCTTCATCATTATCATCATGGTCATCGTCATCATCATCGTCGTGGTCATTATCCCCCTCTACTTCAGAGGAAAAAAAAAAAACGAGCATTTTGTCACCCTTGAGAAATTTGTTTACTCTACAGTAACGTGCCCATTACTTTCACTTTTGCTACACAGACATTACTCAAGTCCATCTGGGGGGTTTTTGTAAAAAAAGAACTTGTTACTTTGTTGTTGGCTAACAGCGCAGTTTCTCCCTTGGGTTAATGTGTCTTGCTCAATGTCATTAGTCCATATTGTGTACTTAGGTAAGGAGGTTAGTCTATATTTGATTTGCCTGTGCTTTAATAATATTCCTGCTGAGTTGCACACAGCTTAATTAACCCTATCCCTACGCCCCGGGGTCATTTTGTACCCCCAGGATTGTATTCTTCACATTTTAAAATACTTCTAGTTCTTTGAGACTTTCAGTTTTTCTCGAAAAATCGTTTTGACAGACTGCTATGCAAAGCGTACGGATCGGATTAACGAGTAAATTTCCTCTTTGGAATGTGGGGCACAGAGTTCCCCACGTCGTATGGATACGATAGTAAAACATGATGTACGGATAGGGTTAACTAAGATGGTTAAAAAGAAACTTGGTATGTTTTTGTATGTGTTTTCTGAGCTGTGATAAGAAGCCCTAGCTTGGATACAGTTTTTGGTATTTTGATGTGTTTTTATCGCAGCCTTTCTGATAAGGGTAGTGAGTGTGCCTAATGTACTGCCTTTTGTATGCAACTTTCCAAAAGTAATAGTCATTGACATTGTCTCTGAAAAACTCCACGTGCATTTATTATTTTTGGTCTCTGTTTATTTAAATGGACAGTGGAAGTTTTCTTAATCTCTTTTCTAAATGTATTAAATATACTTTGCAGTGAGTATAGTTGTGGATAGATGTGCGATTGCTGTGCTTTAGTCGTGTAGATTTATGATATAGTGATATACAGTAGACTTTATTTAGCATGAAACTGTTTAACACACAAACTTCCTACTTCTCGAAAAGATTTCAAGTCCGTCCCCCCCACCCCCGCCTTATACATTAGTACCGAAGTCTGCTTAACGTGCAGAAAATATCTCTGGTCCCATGAAGTGTGAAGTTCATGTTTTCAGGGTTTTTACTGAAGTATATGCTGAAAAGATAAGATGCTCAAGTTTTTCACATATTCTTAATAGCTATTCTGCCCTTGTGTGTGATTGTATTGAGCTGATACTGCTAGGATCCTAGGAAGTTTCAACAAACATGCAACAAAAATAGGGTTCTGTGTTCATTTTCATATTTGTTACTGTTACCCAGCATAATTCCTCTGTCATTCTGGAAATCTTGAGTTATTGTTTATTATGAAAAATTACTCATGATTTTATGTTGTTTTTTTCCACATGATGGATATCAAATCTACTCTTGAAAAAAAACAATATTGTTGTTGAGTAACTGAGACATAGTTGCAAGTTATGTGTCACCTTGGAGTCTAGCATAATTTTGGTTTCAGAACAAATTGTTGTAAAATGTCTTCTCTTCATTCTATCTAGTGTGCTTTTTTAAAAACTTCCACACATTTTTGTCAGCATAATTAGGCCTATTATTTTGAATGTGAGGACACATATTCTTGTACACTTGTTTTATTCACAAGAAATCAGTTGAAATTAGAAAACTACAATGTTTTTCTGCATTTCTACATTTAATGTAAAAACATGCCATCAGTGTCCCCTGACTCTCTGAATTTAACTGCAATAATGTCATACCTTCCATGCTCAGAAGTGCACTTGACAAAATTCTACCAAGACGCGATGTCTCTGAAATCTCCCGAAGCAATTGTCAGACAGTTTTAATTCTATTTGCTGACTTGTGTTTTTAAGATTTTCAACCTTTTCTCAATAGTGAAATCAAAGAAATATGAAGCATTTCAACCTTTTCTCAATACTGAAATCAAAGAAATATGAAGCAATCAAAAATCCTGCTCTGAAATGTTTGTTTGGCTGCATGGAATGAGGTTTGTATCCCTCAGGCTTTGCCTACAGATAACCGTGACATAATGCATGTTCTGTTAGAGTTGACCATCAACTTGTGCCATGAGCGTTGACGATGCCTTTGTCCCATGACTTCATTGAACTCATTCAGTCGACAATTATTTTTTACCTTACTTTTACCTCACTTTTATCTGTGGCTGGTGTAGGCCTGTACTTTGCATTATATTTGAACTGAACTAGGCCTATGAGTGAGATATTTCCACTTACAAGGAACAGATTAGGCTTCGGATAAGAGGAAAATGAGAGACACTTTATGTATTTGTTGAGAATAAAAGCTTTTATCTTAGTTGTATTAGAGTAGTGTTACCTCATATCTTTATGGTTCACTTAAGTGAAAAAAAAGTCACTTGACCATAAGGCCTGTTTTGTAGTGGCAAATAGTGTGACCTTTCCAGTCATTATAAACTGGCCTACAGTTTGCCATAGCTGTCTTGTTGAGGGCCTACATACAGTGACCTCTGGGAGAACCAGGCAATAACAAAGTCACAGTTTCATTGTAGGAGTCAGTCCTAGTACAGTCAAACTTGTCTCAAGACATCCACCCATTATTATCAATGAGAAAAGTGGTCTTCTTAAACAGGTGGTCCTGGATCATCTTCATAAAGTGTCAGATCTGAAACAGGCATTGATGATCATGGCTCTATTTCTATATATTCATGTCTTTGCTTTGATTCTCTAATGCTCTAAAAAAACAAAAACAACCCGGTATCACTATTATACTGGTGTTTCCCACTCACTCGTCAGTTCAGGTTTTCCTAATAAGTTGCTCTGGGTCTACCACCGCCTCATTTGCCTTTTATTTTTCCAGTGTTTTGGGCGTTGTCATTATAATATATAAAAGAAAAACAAAGTGGGATAGAGGTAGATGAGATGTCTTGGACAGGTGGTCTCTAGAGCAGGTTTGACTGTATGTCTACATTCTGTGATCCAATCCCACAATAAATAAACCAGTAGGCTATTGAGGGACAGAGTGCTCCCCATGTGTCTGATTTGTAATCCTCGGCATGATTTCTGATCTGAGGCTTTGTTTCCATTTGATGTACCTTATGTTTTGAGTAGTATACAAATGTTTCTCAGAATGGATAGATATATATATATATATATGTATAGATTATGTAAATATGATTATGAAGTATGTGCCTTAGCTTATTTTCTTATTCATCTACAACATGGCCAAGATTTTGTTACTGTTTCTCTATTTGATTATTTTTTTCCCCTTTCAGCTGTGCGCGCACTTTTTTTTCCTCCATTTGCTGGACATTCCAGAGTGGGTCAGTTGTTTGTGTTATGAGTATGTGGGGGAGCCTGGATGAGTGGGAGCCTGATGTGGGCGAGCAAGCCTCTTGGTTTCTGCGATGATTTCTTTGTGTAATGTGAATTCCTGGTGGATGTGTAGCCTACAATACAAGCTGCCAGTGAAACTCCTCTCTGTGTGGGCTTGTACTAGTGTATGACAGAAAGTAGAAAGCCAAACCAGTGATGATACACTTTTTTGCGTTTTTCTCTTTTTTTCCGTCTTTTTTTCCCCTCACCTTTGATGTGGTTTTGCACTTAAGTTTTCTCGTTCTTCAAACTGTTGTATTTTATTTACTTACCGGGATAAAGAGTTTCATATTATAGGAATCATCTGTTTCTGTTTCAGAGATTTTTCATAAAGCATTCGATGCTATGGTCCTATTTGTAACTGGTTGCACTGACCTGCAAAATGTAGTTTTTGAGTCCTAGGCCAAGAGAGAGTGTGGGGGGGGGATTCTACTTTTCTTCCCTAGAAGAAGTAGAAGTAGAACAATGAAAACGGTCTGGTTTGTCTCATAGGGCCTGAAATTCTTGTCAGAATCAAATTTAAAAGTTGTATTATTCTTTCTCATTGTAGGTCAAAATAATGTGATTTAGTTGAGGACAAGGAACTGGAATTCCTCATTGTCAGAACTTAAGATACAGTCTTTGCTGACATCATCACGTTTTATTTATTTTATGCAGCCCACCTATCATCGAGCGATTGTTTTTTTAGTTTGAAGAAATGTTGAGTGCTCATCCTTTTCCTACCATGTGCCTTTGTACTTGAGTTTTCTGCTGATTCCTTTGTGCTATGGTTTTGAGTTGTTGTTTTTTTTATACTGAAATACAGTAATCAGTCTAACCCTATGGCTATGTGTTGTTTGAGCTTTTATTTTTGTTCTTGTTTATCTTAAAAGTCACGAGTCATGATTTAGGCCTACCTTTTAGAAAAATGTGTGTTCCACATTTTGACAAATATGTTAACATTTTCAAGGAGAAGGATTCTACACCTGGCAATGCAATTTGAAGCTTCGTCTATTTGTGTTTTTGTTTGTCTTTTAGAAGCCAACTGTTTACATTGGAGGTTTAACGGTTAGGCACTAGATGTACAACAAGGTCGCTTACAGAAGATCCGAGTTAATTCTTATGTGGGAAGAATTTTAAATCTTAACCTTGATACTGGGATGTTGTGACTTTCTCACCTGGATGGTCTCGAAAAGCAGGGTCGAAGCCCACTTCGTAATTGATCTAAAATGTGCTGATGAAAGAAACATTTACATTAATTTCTAAAAAAGATAAAAAGTCAGTGGTCTAAATAATAGAAAAAGATGTTTTTTATTATGACAGAAGTGTGACTTTTCAAGGGAAAGAGTTCTATACATCATGCTATGCAATCTATAGCTTCACTTGGTATTTTCACTTGTTTATCTTACAGGTCAAAGGTCTAGGTAAAAAGAAATGTGCATTCTCTATTTTGGTTAAAAAAGTAAGCCTTTTCAAGGAGAAGAATACCCTGCAGTATCTGTGCAGTAGCGGTTGCACATAATAGGTCTGAACGGGAGAATTTTTATTGAGTTTTTCAGTCTTTATGCTGGGATGTTGTATCCCTCTCAGCCTGGGTAGGCCCTGACAGGCAGGGTCAAAGCCTGCCTCTTAATTGATCTAAATTGTGTTGATGGGGAAGTAAAAATAGCTAGGTCTATTATAATTTTTTTTTTATCATGACTAAAAGAAAGGAGACCGTACATTTTAAAAATTCACACGTTCCATATTTCATTGGAAAAAGCCCCTTTTCAAGAAAATGAATTATACTGTTATTGTTATTCAGTTTGAGTTCCACCTGTTGTCAAACTTAAATTTTTAGTTTAATAAAATTGTTAAATTGGAGACACACTGGTGTAACGTTGATTTTGTTAAAATGTCATTATTTGAACAACAGCTTCATCAAGAAAATCCCAGAAATTGATTTGTTGGGTTGTGGAATGCCGTCGATGATATGCCTCACTTGTAAAATTATTGTTTTGGGTACAATGCCAATGTTGTTACCCATCAATGTATAGAAATAAGTTGAAAAAGAGCATTTAAAATTTTCCACTTTTTATTTTAAGAGAAGGGCACATTCAGATAAAATATTTATGAATAGATCATATATACAACATCATACATTCCCTTTCCATAAATTTAGAATGAGTATTTGCCTCACGGAGCAAAGTAAAGAAAATAAATCCTTCTCTGAATAGCTACAACCCACAGCATTTATTTTTCCTCTTTTCACAAGTTATATCATCAGGTTTCATAAAAGATAATAGCAGAAAAGCAAGGAAAGAAAGCAAAAGAACAAGTTTAAAGACATATAGGAATACCGGTAAAATATAAGTTTCATGCCTTGTCAGCGATGCATTGTAAAAACGCTGTGAATTTGAGCTCATGGGACAGTGCCTGTATGTTGGGCTGTCATTAGTCGAAAAACAAAGCTTTACAGATGCCATAATAGCTCTCCATCTCTGTGGCAGGTCTGTTCGCCGTGATGGTTTGCATATAATAAATACAATCTTTCATTCCAGGACCGCATTAACTTACACTGTTTTCACAGTTTAATACCGGTACTTCATATATAAAAAGCTCAATGTACTGAGTTAAAAGTAAACCAGTTCTTTTCGGTTCAATTCTTCCTCCATGTTGAATTTTTAAAAATCATGCTGCTCCAAGTCAAGAGGTAAAACGTAAAAGGATGATGATGCACCATCACAAGGTACAGACGAAGGCAGAAAAAAATAGAACAAAATTTTCAGGCTCTCCTCCAAAATAGTTTCATTCATTTATAACAAATTCAACTGATATTAGTCACTCTCATAAAAACATTGAGAGATCACAACAAATGAGAATCATATCATAACAATAGTGTTGTGCTCTAACCCTCAAACTTGAAGAAATGACCTTATGCAGTTGCGATCGCCGTAAAACCTCTACTAAATAATAAAATGAACTGGAAGAAATAGGGGTTGTGTATCCACTGCATAGGTCGATATGCAGTCCTAAATAAGACTGAGGAGACAGCGTAATATATAAAAAAGTACTGTGAGCTAACTTTTGTGTCTTCTCTCTTAGATTAAATTAGAATGCTTGATATTTTTTTTTAATTTACGTGTTAAAATTTTCTTAAGAAAGCAAACAGTTATGTGGCTAGAAGATAACAGTCAATAAGCATGCGAAACTAACGGCGCTAGATGTGTCAGGATCTTTCAGGAGCTGCTAGCAGTGACAACATTTGCCGGCCACCAGCTGGGTACCTCACATGTCAGTGTCACTGACTGACCGTCGGATCCCATCACTGAGAGAGTGTCCTTGACATGAGCCAATCGCAGCAGGCCAAGACCAGTGGTGCCCTCATTACTACGAAACTTTCCGGCATTTTTCCCTTTTTCAGTCGAAATTGTTGAATCCCTGTCAATGGTGGCATCTCTGAAAAAAAATTCAACAAAAGATTCTGGTTAAAACCATTCGATCTAATCAGATTGACAAAAGTTCATAGACCATAAAAACTTCATTTTAAGAGCCAGACATGAATAATACAGCGGGGGTATTATTTGGTCCTTTAAAAAATATTCTAACATTTATTAACTCTATTTTTTTTGTTTTAGTAGAGGGTTTTACGGCGCTCGCAACTGCATAAGGTCATATGAGCGCTAAGGGGAGGGTGTCAACAGAGAAGTCTTTACAGGGAATCAGATTTACTCTGCTCATCTCTCTAGCTTCAACAGCACAAAGTCTGCTTCGACTATCAAGGGACCCCAGAAATAGCGGGTCACATTTGTGACAAACATAAAAGAAGTAGAGGAAAATGACAATAGTAAGGATTAGGAAAGAAAAAGCAGCGGTTCCCTGTTGTACATCAGGCACAGTTATGAGCTTGACATTGATGAATCAACCCATTTACAATTCTACTGTGCATGAACGAGAAATGTCCCCCCTTTGGGAATGGCCTAAAGACACTACAGTCAGTGGCACTGCCCCGGAGGGTATGAACTATAAAAGAAGAGTAAAGTTTCAACTTAGACACAATTGTTGGATGCGGGAGGGAAAAAACAAATAAGATAAGTTGCATTTCCTTTGTACCAGTACAAAAGATATAACAGCACTTGTGCAGTCAAGTAACAGCAACTTACAAATTACCAATGTCTGTGGTATATTTTTGTTCAGCTCTTCACCACAGCACGCAGAAAATGAAAATTCAACAATTACTGACCAAGTGGAAACTTTTTCTATTGAGTATATTTGGCTGTCTGCTGCAAACGTATTCCACTCAACGCAGGTTGGCTCAGAAAAGAAAGGTTGAAGCAGCCTACCTTCAAAATGATCTAAAGTGTGCTATTGGGGGAGCAAAACATATTGACAATTAAATATAATAAAACTCACGAATCTAATGTGAGAGGCATCAAGCGCTTGCGAGTGACTCCTGTATGGAACGTGCGGGCCGTCAGTTCTTGGCCAATGTAGCAACCTTTTTGGAAGTTTACTGGAACAAAAAAAGAGATTTAGAATTTTGCATTACAAAGCCTTTCAACTACAGATCCACTTCTTTAGTGATAAAATACAGCACTCTTGAACAAAAGAAGCCCCGATATAACGTAGGAAGGATTCTATGCATAAACTAAGAAAAATCTGAATTAAGGATTCAAAAGCTCACACAATGTCTGAGGCCCAATCCCTAACCAATTTAACTGACAATAAACAAAACACATATAAAAAAAGAAGGGGCAGAGGGAATATTGAAGAGGTATCACTTAAAAGGACTTTATACAGAAGCAAAGGCTGACTCACCTCCATTCATAAAAGCTAAATTACTCTCCAGAGGCAAGCAGTTGCCCGGAGGCAGGTCGTTCACCCCCTCAGGGATCCCCCACAGGTAGCGATGAACTCTGTACTCTTTCTCATCTACCGTCTTGAGTTCTGGAAGAAAATGCGATAAAAAAAATCAGTTACAAAGACCACATATGAAATAGCTCACACTAGAAAATAAACCCACAGTAGGCCTACAATTCTGAGCAGGTCAGGTGCTTAGTTACCAAACTTGTATAACTATGATATAGTGTGTGTCTGCCTGACACAAATGCTAATCTCAGGATGTGGTAATGTTGTTGTGTTGAAAAGTGACAAAATTTTTAATAAGCAACATCAGCTTTCAAGTGACCAAATGCTCAACCGCATGGTGGTAATGTTACGCACAGAAACCAAGACTTTTACCCCTGAGCCAACCCGGAGACTTCAAGAAAGGTGGCTCTATGTGAGAGGGTGTAAACTGAGCTCGTGTACTCAGTGTAGTATATTTCTTGTCAGTCAGTGCTGAGATAAACCAGAGAGGAATGATGTACGTCCATTGAGAATTTAGACCATTCTCATTGTTCACACTGTTTTTGAATATATATCAAAAATAATTTTAGTCTGACAATTTATGGAAACAAAGGTTGCTGTTAAAGGAAAAAAGCTGCTGTTAAAGCTAAAAGTGTTTGTAGAAAAATTATGTTGCACAAGTTTATGTTGCTTCAAGGTGGTGGTTGCTCTTATCTGGATTGCTGTAAAGGGACATCACTGTATATCAGAAAAGATGTACCTGAAGATTGCGCAATAATCTATGAAACACAAAAAAACTGTTGAAATATAATGAGCCATGAAGAATAGGCAAGCAAAATATTTAAAGAGTCTCATGTGAGTAGGAGTAATAAATAGACCAACTGCAAACCAAGGGGGGGAGGTGGTGTTCTTTCCAACATCCTTTATTTGACTAGCTGTTTAGTTAGTGGTCTCAAGATTAGGCTCTCGGCTCACAACCATAAGGTCATGGGTTCAAATCCCATGAGGGGTTTGACATTGTACCCTTGAGAAAGACACTTTGCACAAAATTTCCTCACTTTACCCAAGTGGACTTGGGTACCCAGCTATAGACAGCGAGAGATCTTGTCAGTTTTTAAACGTTTGAGCACTTAATCGGCAACTTGCATCGTAAGCTTCCAGGGAAGCGAAGAACGTTTCTAATTGTTCTAGGATCTGCTGGGATAATAATAGTTGTAAAACATATAGCATGCAGTAGAGCGAGGATATGCGCTATACAAAAGTAATTGTCATTATTTACCTCCAATATTGTCACCATGAGTGAGGATCCTGTTGGCAAAGACAGGGACCCGAGGATCGTGAAAACAGAAAGCGTCACTTGGATAAGAGGGAGTAACGCTCTTTTCTGAGCTCTCCCCTGTCTGAAACTCTGACCACACTGTGTACTCATCAGTCACATCTGAGATGTCAACCTACGAGAGCAGACCAAACAACTAATAAATATTTTGTACTTTTATTAAAAAGATCATCATTCGTTCTACTTTTCCAAAGAATTTGCAATCATTTCCACTGAGGAAAACCAAATATCTCTAGCGTCGCTACCCCTGTCTTGAGAAAATCGTAACTGAAAATGTGGGGTTTTTGGAAATTTGTATTTTAATTTTTTAATCTTGTTTTGATAAAGGAAGTATTGTCAAAAATGGTACAATTCAGTGTAGCATGTAATCTGATTATATTTATATTGTTGTAATTTCTCATTTGAGTTATTTTGCTGTTGAGGGCCAACTTAGTATTCTGTTCTGAGGCTGGGTACACATTCTCTTTTTTCAAATGATATGATCCAGCTGTAAAGTCTAAGACCAATTAATATTCTCAATAAAAATAAGACAGGCAACATTTCAAGTGCTAAATCTCTGACAAAGAGCCTTCTCTGGCTGCTTCAATACAAAGCATTAATTCACTGCACTATCCTTAAACAAACATACACACCAAACACACACACAATCAGTTTTAATCACCAAGAAAAATTAAAGTAACAAATAAAATATGAATGGATATAATATAAATAAAATGTAAAGCTTGTACAAAATATCATTAATGCAAGAACCTATTTCCTAAAAAAATAATTTTTTAAACCCCCAAAAAACAACCCATACTTAACCTTTTTTCTCAGCTTGTATTTTTTAAATATCTTTGCCAGCTCATCTCTCACAGTAGAGTCCACATCAACGAGAACTGTCATGGGGCTGTCAGGCCCCTCAGAGACATTGCACAGGAACAAGTCATATAACACTCGCCCCTGAAATGACAGCACACAGACTGATCAGGTACATACAGGGTAATCAGAGACGCAGGAGGAGGGGAAGGGGGGGGAGGGAGGGAGAGAGAGAGAGAGAGAGAGAGAGAGCGAGAGAGAGAGAGAGAAAGAGACAGAACAGGCAGAGACGGAGAGTGAGATACAGAGAGACAGAGAGAGAAACAAAGAGAGAGAGAAATAGAGAGGGAGAGAGAGAGAGGGGGAGTGACAGACAGATAGACAGACAGCAGAGAGATAGGAAAAACAGACAGACAGAGCTAGAGAGAGCTTTCCAAGTGTCTAACTTCGAGTTGGTGTAATGTACATTTATTTTTCATAAACTTATCAGATATTTTTGGTAGGCCTACTGTACCTTTCCCAAGAATGGCAAAAAACCTGTATATCTAAGAAGTCAGGATCTACTTAAAACTGGCATTAGTTTGGACACTACTTCATCCCTGCAGTCTCTTCACAAACTTATAGCATATATGCTTGTTCACAAATCAATAGGCGTCAATAGTCTAGAAGTGATTAGTATGCCAGACTCATAATCATCAGATTGCTGGTTCATGGGTTTGAGGATCAGCTCCGCCCAATATTGTGTCCTTGGGTAAGGCACTTCATATGAATTCTTTTCATTTGGCTTGGACATTCTATTGGAGAGTAAAGTGTACAATTGAAACCTGGTATAACAGGGCTGGTGGGACCAGAGAAAAAGTCCGTTATATCAGAAATGCAAGGGAAGTAAGCATTTGTGGACTAATCCAATTGTATTATTCATGGGTAATTTCCCTTGCACACCACAGCCCTCTCTCGTGGCCATGTGGCAAGCCTGCACATGACACATTACGCGTGCGTGTAGCTAGGTTTAGGGCTAGATAAAAGTCGGAAGCACACCGCAGCCCTCTCTCGCTTCACCCGCAGCGTGTGCTTGCAGTGGCTTGCGTGGGCTTGCTCCATCAATGTGTTACTCTCTCTCTCTCTTACTTTTTACACATTGTGAACAAGCCTTTGTCCAAGCTGTAACCGATTGGGCTCCGATGAGACCCTGTTATTGCTGATAACTTTTAATAGAGACAAAGAGTGGGAAAAAACGGGGATTTAAAAAATCCCTGTTATTACCAGATCCCTGTTATTACCGGGCCTGCATGGTTTCCACTGTATGTATTACAGTGTTGCAAGGGCGTTAAACCTCTATACAATTTGGAATATTTTTTCGCCCAATTATTTCTCCCCTAATATCGTAACTCAGCAGATATTCCACTCGTTATAGAGTAGACACTATATTCCCAGGTGACAATATAGACTTAGTGCAACTACCTACCTGAACATTGAGCATCATACTGTACTGAATTGACGGTGATTTTTCCACCAGCTGTTGGACATCGTTGGTCACAAGACCTTGAAGAAAAGAGGCAGTGTCTTTTCCTGAGAGACGAAGTACACCTCTAGTGGAAAGTTTACAGGCCGCATGAACAGATCTTTTGTTTGAAGTGTGGAAATGTCTGTGAATGATCTTGCTTGCTAGTTTCCTCCATAGACACTGACTCAGACCTGTCATCATTACTTTTAACGGTGGACCCAAGCTGCCATGGGCGTTCATGATAATCTACAGAGGGAAGAAAAAAAGCCAAATTAAAAATTTTGTTAACACACTTACCTCTGAGAGATTTGAAGTCACTGGAATGTTATTACACTCTTACAGCACAAGTCATCTTGTACACCATATATACATATGGTAGATATAGCACACAACCACTGTAACTCTCTGTCACAAGGAATAATGATATAATGCCATGCCACTATTATTGGAGTGCAATTGTAATTTTTTGTAGATCTGACCTTGTATTTGCCAGCTCAATCAAAAGGACCTTTTACCTCATAGAAATGAGAGGATGAAGTAACCATAGGAATACCATCCTTTAAACAGAAAGCAAATATAAATAAGGAAACATGGCACAATGTGTCCAATATGTGTGCAAGCAACAAAAGATTTATTTTTTTATATCACAAGGCAAGGTCATATAATATAATATAATATAAAGAAGACATCAGATCAGAATGAACATTTTAATTGGGGGATAGAAATGTGCTTATAATTGAAAAAGACAGAGGCAAAGGACGTTACCAATAATTCTTTGATTCTACAGTGGCATCAGATGATCAGTAGACAAATATTCACTGACATGGGTAGATTTCGTCAGTTGACTGGCGGAGGACAACAGACAGAATTACATAAAACTAAACACAGCAGGAGAGTACAACTTTATCGTTCATAAATAAAAAAACTCTGTAATTCCATGTACAACAGACACAGGTGAATCTATCAAATGAATAGCATATATCTGAATAACGTGAGACAAAATTTAAATAACATCACACTCATAAAAATAACAACAAATTAATGTCAACAAACTCAGGAGTATCAACTGTCTGCAGTGGCAAAAGAGAAAGTAGAATATTAAGTCAAGAATCAAGAGTAGTGTCCCTTGACGTTTTACGACAACATACGGAGAATTGCGACAATCAACAATAAAGTTTTTATTTACATCGACAAGAAGGAAGGAAGGAAGTCTTCGTGGCGAATCACAATTCGCCAAACTGTGTTGATTGTTATTATTGAACCGGTCAATCGATTTAGCCAGCTCACGTAGGGTATTCATGCTTTTTGTTCACTTATGTTTCCATTAATATGCGCTCAATTTCTTATTCTGTTTCTCACGTGTTCAGCGAGTATCACATTTCAGTAATCTCAACTATTGATGTTGTCGGAGAGGATCATGCATGCAGAGAGTGAGAGTTGAAAGAGAGTGATAGTATTTTTAGGCTACTGTGAGAAAGTGAAAGTTGATTCTTCTTCACTGCGATTAGATCTAGAATCTAGTGTAAGTCAAATAATATGGTGTTCAGTATGACTGCACGTTGTGGCTCTAAATGCATTCTTATTAATTGATTCTGATTGAAGAGGAACAGCATTGTCTACCGATCTTGAATCTCTCTATGTCTCTGTTTCATTCCCTGTCAACAACAAAGTCGTCAAAGTCACAACATTGGAAAAATTAAATTGTCAAACTGATGTGATTAACCGATTCTTGTACCTTTGCCATTGTGAATGCTACTGCTACTGTTGTAACAAGACTGAACTAACTGACTGGACTGGAGTTGTTAGAATTCTTTCATTACTGATCTTGCCTATTTGTCAGCTCTTCTTGCTAGAGAGTCTAGAGTCTAGATTAAATTCTTGTTCCATAACATGTACATTTAAACAGAACGCATGTCTAGTAGTTTGTTACATTGTTAGAAGCATCGTGAATGGAGTTCAGACAGAGAAAGAAATGTGCATAGATCTACTTTTGTCACTTGTGAATATTGGACTTCTATTCCAGTATACTTGGCGCCAATCGGATTAAAGGACAAGAGATTCTTCCGCAGTTTTTCCTACCAGATCTAATTTTTGTTTTCAATACACTGGGACACTGGGTTCTTGAAAAGGTAAGTCTGGCAATGTAAAGTGGGTATAGTACAGTAGCCGTCGCCTAAGATCCCACAGTTTACGATCCTGGTTCGCTTGTAACACTTTGCCGCTTCATCTCGCCGATCGGATATGTTTACCTCCCAATTTCTTTGGATTTTCCCCAAAATGTGATGGCAAAGTGTTAAAGATCCTGCTGTTTTTAGATACAGATTTTTTATAGACAAAAGTCACCTCTCTAAGATCCCGCTCTGATTCACTCTGAAGGTCTACATTCAGCTAAGATCCCTTATTTCAGATTGTAATTTACGGAACAAAAACGCGGGCGAGCAAAAGGGAAAAGTTGAGATCATGGAACTGACTGTCGCATCAAAGGTCAACCACTCTCGTGAATGTGCTCACATTAAAGCTTTGCAACACCCAATGAAAAGGTACAATGTTTACCCCAAACCGGATCATACCGAGGTGTTAACTGACCGATGCGTTTGTTTTGCTCAAACATTGCACTCGCATCTGAGTTTTCCTCCTAAAATTACATCACTCGCTGGGTGGATAGGGCCTACAAGTTCGCTCCCGGTGGAATCAATCAAACTGTGAACTCTTCCTTGACCGTTGCAGCATCAGTTTTCTCTACTCCTGAATTTTATTTGGTGTTGTCACAACCTAATGGTAGCATAATTTAACGACAAAGGCAGAGATGGAAAGCTATCAATTTTGGACAGGTAAAGTAGGGGAGGGGCAACTGAAAGCGTAGATCTTGAGACTCATGACTCGTGATAGGATAATGTTATATATATGGCATGCCTCATGCCACTGTGATTGGTCATCAAGGTGGACTACTCTTTGCTCACCATGTCATTATAAACCCACCCAACGGTCATGATGTCAGTTCATTTTAGAGTGATGGGAGACCATTTTACCCATTGTGAGTCTTTTAATGGGTCACTACAGATTCATCCCTGGGTTTGTTGGCTAAGATCCCGTTCACCTAAGATCCTGTATTTTTTCCTTGCTCTCGAGCACTAGGATCTTTGGTGAAGACTATACTGTATTTTAGTTGACTTTGGACGACTGACTTCGACAAACTTGCCTTGGTTGACGTTGAGTGATACATTGTACAGTTCTCTCAGCCACAAAAAAATTCAAGCATAATGCTCTGCCAAGAAAACAGTCAATAATTACCTATTCTCGTTCAGGACCTGATATGATTATATTTTGATTAAATTAAATCAGTTATAATTGTTTGGGGGCTTACCTAGAGGTACTTGTTCACCTCTCATTCAAAAGGTCACAGAATTAAAAACTTGCAGAGAGATGAAAACATTTTCTTAATTTCTAATTATGCTCCCCTTTCTCCTATTTTCCTCATGTACGTTAACCCTGTTCTGTCATCTGCTTTGATTTAATACCTTTAAAAGTTTTAAAGAAATGAACTCTCTAGGTGGTGAATACACAGTATTTTCTTTTCTTACAACTTTTACTGCTGTGGGGAAATTATTGTCGAACATTTATTATAATCAAACAGTACGAAAAGTTATATATTAATTTTTTAATTTTCTTCAGCTACTTCATCATGCCCCTTCCTCTGGACGTGGGTGTCCGTGCGGGAATGGTGTACCTGGTCCTGGTTCTCGCCATCCCCATCCAGTACTATCTCTCTAACCAGATGTCCGTGCCAAGTACACAGAGGGATGCCAATTTAAAAAGGTGGTTTTTATTTCATAATTTACTGAGAGACCTGTTTTCACATTTATAAACTCATATCATTTGCACACTAAGACACACATAGGGTTAACAGATTCATATATAATGTAATCATATATTCCTACTGTCTCAGACTTGATGACCGTGAGAGAACAATATAACTTCTCTAGTGTTGCATGGATCTCTGTACCAAATTTGAGAAAGATTATGTTTGATCATCTAGACGTGATAGTCTCAAACTTGAACAGGTTAGGTGAGCATCGTGCATCAGTCATGTCTTGGAGTGACCCAGAAAAGGCCTTTTATGTGTTAAAAAATACACTGAATTCAAGTCTCCTGCAAAAAAAAAGCTTCAAGCCATTGCAGGGAGTAGGAGTCAGTTTAATGTCAGATTATACACAAAGTCCACAATCCACCAGATTATGTTTTCTTCATAATTAGTGTGCGAATATACTTACTTATCTTTTATTTATTGAAACCTGTGTTGTAGTGGTTTAAGTGCTTCACTTTTGCATGCAGAAGATTTGGGTTCATTTCCCATGTTAGGAAGAGTTTTTTTTTAATTGAGTAAGTCCACCTGTTTGCTGGGTCGTGTTCCTTTCATCCTGCTTTGGCCAAGACAGGCAGGGACAAAGTTGCCTGCCTCTTAAATGATCTAAGTAATTGTGCCGATGGAAGCATAAAACATTTGGCTCGAAAACATTTATTGTTATTTTGTGGATCTGATATATTTACAATCGTGATGCATGTTGCTTAATATACATATGCCAAAAAATGTTATGTCTTCTTTATTCTTATGTGACAATCAGACTGCTGAAGACTTTCTACCACTTCAAGAGCAAGTACTTGTCCCTGCCATCTTGGAAACGTTGGTGCTGGAGCTGGTTTAAGAAGGCTGAAAGTTTAAGAAGTAAGTCCTGTAATACTTACTGTGAAAAAAAAAATTGTTTTTTAAACCAAAATACAACAGAGTTGTCATTAATGAGAAAACAGGTTCACATCAAAGTCAGGATTGAAAATTTGGTAGAAATGCACGCGTTGCTGCAGAGAGGGTTTTTTTTTTTTTTTACAAACATTGTGAATTAATAAGAAATGATGTGTTTAACAGGGAAAGGCTTTAAAAAGTGTGAGAGTTTTAATTTACAATTTTACCCTATCTGAGATAAGATGATATTCTGGTATACTTTTTTTTCATGGTTTTAAGATTTATTACAGACAAATCTAATTTCAAATGCAACATCTGTTGTATGTAATAACAGGCCTGCAATTTTTTTTCTAATGTTGTTTTTTTGTTTCAGCCGGACAGAAGTTTATCATCCTGGGCAAAGATCCAGGAAAGGACATGGGAGAGACACCGGCGAAAGATGTCTTGACTTATCGCAACCCTGAAGGGTACTTTGCCAGTAAGTGTACAGAAATTAAGTTTCTACACACAGCAATGGTTTAATTCTCAGTAGTGCTGGTTTATACGAAATGAGAGAAAGGATTCAGATCCTTTTGTTAGTGTCAAATTCAATAAAGCATTGCTAAAGAATCTGTTGGCGGCTGCTTTGACAACAGATATGTTATCGATAAAACAAAAAAATTCTAGGTACACTTTCTAAAGGTAAAACAGATACTTTATTCTAAGGACAAAATCTGTATATATATACTCTCTGGATCTTAAAGGTTGTAGTTCAAGATGCATTATTAACAAAATGTATGTGATAATTATACTGCCATTTTGATGCTTATTATGTCATGCTTTTCTTTTTCTTTTTCAACTTAGAATCAACAGAAGTTCGATCGTATCGACCCACTGATGTAAAGTTTCGTGTTGGCCAAGTTGTCAAACACAAAATCTGGGGATACAGGGGAGTTATCATAGGCTGGGATGCCAAGGCACATGTAAGTTTTGAAAAGTGTATTTCTCCTTTTTAATTAGATACATTGATTTGTTGATATCCGTATTTGAATTATGAAAATCTTAAATCTTTTCCCTTTTCACTGGGAGATATGCAGGCTCACAGTCGACTAATGTTTTTTTCCAAATAAGTGTCGTGTTTTGTTCTTATTATGTAACACATTTTGTTTATTTCAACTTGCCTCAAGACAATTTGGACTTCAGATTTGTTGTACATTCTTGTATATCTTTATCATCTTGTTTTTAATTAACAGACAAATAGAACTTTGAAATTTACGTTTTAATATATATGTGATCTCTAATATGTGATGAGAGTGAAAAGGTTACAGATACAGTGGAAACCTGATATAACAGGGATGGTGGGAGAAAAGAAAATGTCCTGTTATATCCGATCCCTGTTAAAACAGAAAAGCAAGGAAAGTAAGCATTTGTGGACTAATCCTGCTGTACCTATTCATGGGTAGTTTCCTTTGCCACAAGTACCCACAAATAGGTATTGGCACCAACTTTCTCCTTGCCTCCTCAAACCACATCAGAAGAGTTTGGTCCACAGCATCTGCATCGGGAAGTCTCATCTTCTTTCGATCCAGAGCAAACTTTCCATTGGAGTATGCTGCCACTATTTTCTCTCTATCCTTGATAATGGTGTGAATCGACCCTTGTGGAAGGTCGAACTCACGACAAATCTGCTAGTGGAGCTTGCTTCTTGTCAACAGCCTGGATTATTTCGTATTTTTTGTCAATTGAAAGGCATCTTCTCTTGCGCTTGAATTCGTTGGTGACACATTACGCTTGCGTGTTGTTAGGTTTCGGACTAGATCGGGGTCTGAAGAGCACACCGCAGCCCTCTCTCGCTTCACACGCTGCGTGTGCTTGCAATGGCATGACTTGCGTGGGCTTGCTCCACCACTGCGTTACTCTCTCTCTCTCTCTCTCTCTCTCTCTCTCTCTCTCTCTCTCTCTCTCTCTCTCTCTCTCTCTCTTTCTCTCTCTCTCTCTCTCTCTCTCTCTCTCTCTCTCTCTCTCTCTCTCTCTCTCTCTCTATCTCTCTCCACATTGTTAACGAGCGTTTGTCCCTGCTATAACCGGTTGGGTTCCGATGAGGCCCTGTTATTGCCGATAACTTTTAATAGAGACAAAGAGTAGGAAAAAGCGGGGATTTCAAAAATCCCTGTTATTACCGGATCCCTGTTATTACATGGCCTGTTATATATGGTTTCCACTGTAAATGATTTTATCTTTGCTCTGCCATATTTGGTCGCTTTTATTTCTTAATGACAAGCGGGCTAACACAGATTTTGGGGGTTTCCAGAATTCTTGACCTGCACCAAAAGTGGGCTTTGCCTTACCTATAGGAGAAGTTTGGTTTCATTGGTGTGTATACTTGTTTGGTTATAGAGAAAACTCTCCTTGTCTTTTAAAGAAACTGAACAAGGGGCAAAATAGGGATAGCCCCCTTGTGCTTAAAAGTGACCATTTTATGGTTATACTTCCAATTTTTGATCCTTTCAGGCTCCTGAGGAGTGGTTGAACAAAATGCATCCTCCAGATAAAACAGTGAGTACACTAGAAAACTACACTCTCTATATATATATATGTATATACACTTTACTCGTACTTTCAACATTTTATGTATTTGTAGTCTCAGAAATGTTCTCTTTGTAAATGAATAGCAATGTTTTAATTTTTGAGGCATGCAGACAAAATTAGTTACTTCTCACATTTCACAAATTGAGATATTGGCCAAAAATCAACACTAGGGTCAAATTTGTAAAAATTTCTATTGATGCCATATTCTTTAACTATAACATTAACTTGCCTTTCATTATTTAATTTCATACTTGCAAATTTTAAAAACTCCCCCTATAAGCGTGATGTATCTATTTTTATAAGGCTTAAATCCGAGAAATAACTCATTTTGTCAACACGCTTCACATTTGTTTGTTTCTTCTTATTGAAAGAATGTCACCAAACCGGAGTTTGTTGTCTAGCGGGCAGGTGCTTCGTTGTCTTTCACAGGATACCTTTGTTCGATTCCCAAGTTGAGAGAATTTCTGCAGGAATCTTGTATTCATCTCAGCCCGCATTGGCCCTGACTGGTTGCCTGCTTCCTGTTTGATCTAAATTAATTGTGACGATGGGGTGAAAAAAAAACCCCATTGCAAAAACAAAAATGTCTTCAAATAAAAATAATCCGTTTCAGTAAGTCATGGAATGTTTTTCTTAGTTGCATTTTCCTCCCTGAGAGGTCCTATTGCACCCCTATCCATCTCGAAAAAGGAATGATAAACTCATTTCTATTGCTCACTTACTGGGGGCAAAAAGAAAAAAAAATTTTTACAAATTTTTTTTTTCTTTTCAGCGGTGGCGAGACATGCCCAACTATTCCATATTGGTAGATACACGAGACAGAGGTACACCCCAGTCCACGTACGTGCCTCAGGAAAATATAGAAGTCATTTCTAATTATGAGGTGAGAGGAGTGTTTAGTTTTCTTTCGTATCAAGAGCTTTTACTCAGGTGGTCATGTGGGAAGGTTGCATTCATATTGCGTGTACATTGTCTTGTGGGAAGGAGATTGTTTGTAATGGTTTGAATTAACTATATCTGTATGTCATGTTTTGCTATCGTATTCATATGACGTGGGCAACTCTGTGCCACCATTTTCCAAACAGGAAATTTACTCGTTAATCCTATCCATACGCTTTGCGTATAAGTCTGTCAAAATGATTTTTTTAAAAATACTGAGTTTCAAAAAGATCTTCACGCTAAAAGTATTCTAAAATGTGAAGAATACAATCCCGGGGGTACACAATGACTCCAAGGTGTACGGATAGGGTTAAGGATACAATAATATTTTTTGACAACGAGAATAGCTTTAAGATGTTTGGTCAAAATTGTTTCATGGCCTCATTTAAGTCAAATGAGTTTTTATTTTAGCTTACTGGCTTTTCCATTGGCTTTTCCTAACTTACTGGATTCCACACAAGTTAAAACCTTTCTTGGTTCTGGCATGTGCCGTAGCTGTCTCAGCCAAAAGTAATTGGAGTTATTCAAACAATGTATTTTCTCTTTCTAGAATATGTTCAATTAAAATAGATTTTTGTTGTATTTAGTTTTTCTTCATGTTATGTACAATGATGTTGTGCTGTTTGATATGTGTTGGAAATGATAAATCTTCAACTTCACTTTCTGAAATGCTCACATTGTACTTGTATCATGTTTGTTTTATATATTTTTTTGTCGTAGAAACGTGTTGAAAACCTACTGCTGATTTCTGATAACAGGTGACCAATAAAGAGTTTTATAGTTGTGCCTTTTCTTGTCTTATTTCAGATACAGCATCCTTTCATCTGGGACTACTTTGATTCCTTTGATGGGGCCCTGTACATCATGAGGAAGGCTTTGAGATATTTTTACCCCAAAGATGGATGATGTTGCCTTTTGGGTGTAGGACAGACAAACAGCTGGAAATATAAGGGCATTTGTTTCTGCCTCAGAAGCGTTAAATGTTTATTTTTAAGTAAACAGAATTGTTCAGTAATGGGACATTCACTTTCGGCTTAATTCATCTTGTGTAGAGAACTAGAATCTGTTTTAAGGTTAGTTTAGGTTAATGCCAAATGTTTTGAGACAAATAAAGAAAGAAAGGACTTTAGTTCTGAAGTCTCAAAAGTGAAATGAAAGAAAGTGATTTTGTCAAACGACAAGTCTTTGAGCTTCCCAATCTGTTATTTGTAAAACAACTGTAAAATTGAAATTGAAGATTGTGAACCTGTGTAATTGTTTTCTACCATGACTGTCGGAGCTGTTAGTTGATTGTTCAAAATTCCTTCACCATCTCATCTAAAACAAATGACATTTGGTTTTGTTTCTAGTGCTGTTTTCTTGTTTTCTTTGCTAAGACGAAGTTTGCCAAAGTGAAGAGGTGGCATTTGTTTGTTTATTTTGGGGTTTTTTCTTCCCACGAAAATGCATGGTTGAGACTTCACCTCCTGACTCGACCACTCAGTTGCAGCTTTGAGAGTTTGTCCCTTTGTGTACTCCTCTTTGGTTTTGTCATGCAATGAGACACTGGTGATGGGTGACACAGCACAGAGGTTATGGTGTCGCGTTTCAAAATTTTAAAGTTTTTTTAGGCCATCGTCATAATACATTCAGTCAACTCAACAGTATTTTTGAATATGTCCCCCCTATGCAAGATGTCTCTTTTTTTTTTCCTTTAGCTCTTGCAGAGATGATGCATGAAAAGATGTTCAGTTGACATCTGTGATTGCTGTCTCATGCAGATGGGTCTCACACGTTAGTGCATCTCATGGTAGTCACCATGTTTGTTTTATTACAGCTGTCTTGTTGTAAGAAGAAGTGCCAATATTTATTTTGTTTTTGAGTGGATTCTAGGGTCAGTTTGCCTTCTTTTTTTTTTTTTTGGCATATACCAAAAGTATACCGATGAACACTTACATATTTTGTTGAATAATTTACCTTTGAGATATGCAAAGCATAATGTCCTGTTTTCTTTGGTTTCGGGTACTTAAGTTGTTCATGTGGGTTCCTTGGTATGGAACAGTTTGAGGGTTTGTTTTTTTCAGCTGATGTTTTATGTTAATAAAAGGTCCAAAGTGTTTGGGTTTTTTTGTAGTCAGATATAGTTTATGAGAGCTGCTCATGACCTTGTCACTGACATTCAATTGGTTTTCCCATGGATCTTTTGGTTGTGAATGTTTTTTCATGAAAAGGAATCATTACCACAGAAGATAGTTGTTTTTTAGTATTATTTTAAGTTTGCAAGTATGGTTCAACTGCAGGTGTAAGGGTCCATATGGCTCTCAGTGTGAGCTCAAATCCTGTGTCACCACTAAAGATTTGCATTGCACAAGGTTGCGTTCCTGTGATAAGCACTAATAATTTCAAGTGTTTTAACTGTAATTCCTTTGATTGTGTGTTTTGTGCAGTGTGTTTCATATTTTTGTTGTTGTCATGCTTGCTTGAGATTGTTTGTACAGATTTGTTTCATGAAGTCTGGTGAGTGAGTGGAAGATGCGTGCTTTATTTATTGTTTCAGTAAGAGCTTTACAGCACTTGCAGCGCAGTTAGGTCTTAAATATGCTGAATATTAGAAGTGTTACAAGAGAGTAACAAAGACAAAAAAGGTGGAGGAGATATAAGGGAGACCTACGGGAACAAACCACACTGGACAGAGCACCTGCCAACCACCCACAAAGATATGTGCAGAGCTGAGTTGTGTTTTATGTGCTTCCATCTACTGTTTCTGACTAGCATTTACGTGGGATGCATTTGTTTTGCAAACTGAATACTGAATATGTTAAAAATAAGTTTTGTTAGAGTTGGTGAGAGGTGAGATATAATCTTCTTGGGGGGGGGGGGTTCTTTTTAATAAATGGTTTCCTTTAAGTCCTTTTCTTTTATTTCTTTTATCTGTATAGATCTACACGGTTATTTTAATTTATGATCCCATTATGCAACTCTTGAACCATTGGCAATTTGTCTGTCTATATATGTATATTTGGAACTGCAATTTTTAAACCCATGATGGGTGGTAAATGTGTCTCCTGTCCTTATATCATGTTATATATTATATATTAATACATAGGTGCAAAGTATCATTCTTTAACACAGGAATATGTCAAAATTTTACTGCTCTGGAATGAGTAATTAAAAAAACAAACAAAAACTGCTATGACTCTCAACCATATGGAAAAAAATCCTGATTATTCAGTGGGCCCAATGGTGCTTAATATATTGATATCATATTTCTCTGATCCTGAAACACTCCCATTTAAAATGATTGGAGGTATACAGTGACTTCTACCAAACTTTTCAGGAACAGCTGATTTTTACTGTGGGCGTTAATTTCTGTTGCACAAATTAATTTTCCTGAAAAAATGTTACTCTTTTTATATTATGTAAGCAAGCTTTGTGGAAGTATTTACTGGCTGAGAGTGTGTGGTGACTTGCCTAGTTTGCTGAATGATGATAATGTCGAGTTTTCACTTGTCAGAATAGTTTAGGCGGAATCAGAGAATTAGACTAGCCAGCGCTTTTTCAAGCAAAATAGCCTAAAATTCAGCAAGATTCACCTTTTATATATCTTATGTTATACTGTGTTAAAAGGAAAATACCTTTGTCTGACTAGCACTGTCTGCTACTCGTCGATACCTTCATCATCGTCGTAGCTCTATTGCTTTAGAAATAAAGTCTACGGGAATTTTTTTTGGCTATCTTTTCTTAAAAGGGATAATAGTTCAAGGGCTTGAGAACTTCAATCGTTGAATAGTTGTTGTTATTGTTAAAGCTAAAGGTTGATTAAAGTCTTACTTTATTGTGAAGCACCCAGAGCCACCAGGGAGTGGGCTGTATAGAAATGATCTTTATTATTATTATTATTATTATTATTATTATTATTATTATTATTATTATCATTAAATGGCCAGCCAAGTTTCCAATATAAAACAAATGTTTGGTTAGCCTACTGTTCATGAAAAAATCTCTTAGTCTTTTTGGGGCAATAAGAACTGCAGATCATCTGATCCTGAAAAATGAGGTCTTTTGTTTTCAGCAAGCTGGTTCTTTAATGTGCAATTTTCTTTCATGAGATAAACATAATAATGGAAATACATGGTAAGTTTGTAAAGTTTCAATTCTATGTGCCGATGCTGACATGAAATTCTTGGTATGGAACTGAAGTGCTCTGTTCTGTTGTTCTTCCTAAATCACAGTTTTGTGTTCAGAGTGGGAGCTGTCAACTCATGGTGCTTGTCTCGTGTGTTAATGTACCTGGTACAGTCCCCAGTTTATGCTGGTATGATTTCATTGAATGCTATTTGCACTACTGTTTTGTTTCTTATGTTCTTCATGGTCTCAGTTGTTGAATTTTTGAGTACAAACAGAATATTTGAAAGTCTCATCTGCGTGTCATGTTTGTTAGAGAAACCTTGGCATGTTAGAGAAACCTCGACATTTTTAAGTGCGAAAAGAGCAAACCCATGAGGGCTCAACTGCATGGGAAACTCAAAATTATGACTATGGGGGTGTAAATGAATCTAGCATTTAAAGTGAAGGGAGGGGGGGGGGAATATGCACTTTGAAAATTCTTTCAGTATTAATGAATATGAATGCCCTAAAAAATGGTACTTACTTTCTTGAAAGACAGCATGCATCATGAAAAGATTTGACTATAGGCAAAATTTAAATGTAGTGCTCTGCATATCGAATATCCCTGTTGTAGGATACCTGACTAGTCTGAGATTTTCCGGGGAACTGACGAAGAAGAAGTGGTTGGAGTAATTAGAGGGGGTTCGTAAATATATAAAAGTTATGACTTTGTGCTGATCAACTGCTGTGGACTCTAGGGTCACTGGACTCTTTATGTGAAATTTCTTATTGCTAATGATACAAATGTACTGATATTATTGTGTTTGTGTGTTGTATATTGAATCTGGTTTGCCTGATGTGTGCAAAGTTAAAAATAGACTGCTGTGGATTTTTACAGCTTTGTTTTAAGGAAGTAACAAATGTTTGTGTTGGACTGAACTTTGCTGAACAGTGAAAGTGGAATCCGATAATATGTTTTTTGAATGGAAGGATGCCCTTTTTTTTCTCCTGATTGCATTTGAAAGTATGGGGGAACTGATAAGATGATTTTGTTCAAAGTTTTATGATTGCTTGTTTGGGGGTTTTTTTGTGTGTGTCTGCTTGACATTAACGTCATCTTGACACCTCATAGTATCTTCCTACTTCTGGAAGTCTTTTGGATATTTTCTAAACATTGTTCAAAAGGATAGAAACATTCTGGGGGAGTGTTGTTTTTGGGGGGTTTTTTTTACCTGGGAAGCAGATGTTTGTAGGGACTCGAATAAAATATGGGTGCTTGTCTCAGTGATTTTTTTTTGGGGGGGGGGGGGGAGTGGGGGGTATGATACGGGGTTAAAAAAACATAGGCATTTTCTGTGACACTGTCTCTACAATGTATCAAGAATTTGTACATATTATATCTCAGGTACAAAACAAGATTGCCGTTTCTGCAAAATTCTATTTTTGAGAGATAAAAGAATTATGACTTTGAATGGAAAGAAATATGGCTTTGATTACACTCACTCATCACCATAATTTTGAACATGAAATCTGCAGTTGTAATATCTTTGCTTTGTATTTTGAGCAACATAAAATGTTTTTTTCACTGGATCACACCACATAATAATAATTTAATATGTTGCCATTTTGTCACTCACACCATAATTTATTGGTTCACGGCTATTATTGCTTTCACCTTGCTTTTGATACGGGACTTCTTTTTTTTCACTGTCCGTTCAGGCTTTTTAAGACTTGAAAGATAAGTGTGCTTGTCTTCCTTTAAAGTCAAGCGGTTTATTCCCAGAGGGTGCTGAGTTCACAATGTTTTTCTGTTGTTGTGAAACAGTACTTTGTAATTGTAGTAAGTAAGTAAGTAGCATTAGTGCCTTGCAAACACGTAAATGCCCAGAGTGTGGGGGCACTTATAGATCTTTGTTTGTGGGATCGTGAGGGGCTGGATCAGAGTTACAGATGATGTATGGTGCACTGGTCAGTTGCATTCAATGTCTTTGTCTGCAGTCTGGACTATTCCACACTGTATTTTACAGGTAGTTAGTTGTATGTTCTTGGGATTTTTTTTTTTTTTAAACTTTGTCCTGCCTTTACAGAATTACTGTAAGCTGGTTGTGTGGAAAAAAATTAATGCATCCAGAAGTGAGCATGCCTTTTGACATGCAGATTATAAAGTAAATAGTGCATCATACGATCAAAAGAATGCGTCATTTTTTCCACGTCTTAAAGTAAAGATTCTGGTACTTTTTGGTCTTCTTGACTCTACCTCTTGGGCTTCCAGATGAAAAGGCAGCTTAAGTCATTGACTGAGCTCTTCCATTCCTGCTTTTCGTTGTTTG